GTATGAATAGACACAAAGTATAGTATAGTATTATTAATACATTAAATGTTTAATAAATTTTATGGCAAAAGAATAAATATTGGCCATTAATATAAAGATGTTCACATCTTACGTTCGTACTTTTTCAGAAATCTAGACCCCCTCCCCCTTATGTTCGTAAATTGTCCGCATGCAGTGATTTCAGCCCTAACCCCACCCCTAAGAAATAAAACTATTCAAAAGTCATCTATTTAATCAAAATTTGTTATCTAATGATTAACTTTGATAAAATTTTCCCACGTGCGGACGTAATATGTGAACCTCCTCTAATGGCAATTTAAACTCAATTTACTGCATATTTATAAAAGTGTCTCTAATACCTTTTTGAAATAAAAACATTTTTCACAACATTTTATAGATAATATTGTGTATTATTTAACGATTAATGGCCACGAAATTTGAGATTTTTCTGTATTCAATACAGAATCGAAGCAAATATATTGAGAAAATACTAATAATTCCGAGAAAACATAAATTCAATTTAAACTCAGATATTATTATATAAAAAACAAGGTTCACACAGCGATGCTATACGTTAACCACAATTCGGGTGATACTCAAAGAATAGATTCCACATTATCCATAGGCTTAGAATTATTCATAAACTCATAAGCTTGTTAGCATTAGTCCGGTAGACTTAGCATTATCCATAGATGGCATTGCCAATGTTAAACCTATGTCATAGCCTTAAGTTGTAATCCCATAAAAATCCATTGAAAATTTTCCCCATAGAATTAAAATTACTCATAGGATAACATTAACCCCATGTTAAAGTATAGTCATAGACTTAATCCTATGTTAAATCCTATAGAGCGGGGGACGAGGGGAGGGGTTAACTGAACGATCTTATAAACCACATCTGAATTCATATCTGAATTGCGGTTAATAATAATCATATAAATCGATGAAATAAATGGAAAAAGTTCACTCATCAATAAATTCCTATAACAATAAATTGCTTATAAATTTTAAAAATCAGTTTTAATAATAAAATTATTAAAGCTTTAGAAACACAGAATATTCTGTATTGCATTCTAAAAATAGTTTTTTACATTAAATATTAAAACTACGATAAATCTTACATTCACAAATTGTGAATCACAATAATAGCTATAAATATCAAGTTTCCATTAGTTTGGTATTAATTTATGAATTACTCGCTAATAACTGTATTTAGACACACAATGTATATCATAAATGATTGGTTTGTGCATAATCTGTAAATTACCGTAAATGTAAATTAAGCAATAATTAATTAATGCCATTATTTGATAACAGATAATAACAATTAGAAATGTAACAAATTCACTGACCCTTGACTTTAAAACAAATGACTAGAAATACAGGAAAAATACTGCTATTGTATGAAATACTATCGAAGAATCACACAATAGATCTCTCGCCCACTGAACTTAATATAACTGAAATTCATGTCATATTTGTAGTAAATGTCTGACATTTTATTGCAATAAATGTTTTGTCGGATGTATTGTGTCGACCGCTATATACTGTACAGTATAACGTATATATTGTGTGTTGAATCACATCTTCTTTAATGGTTTATTATTTCTATATTTATTATCATGTTTTTTAGGAGCGAATCATTTTCAACGTTAAATACAATTTTTATCACAAATGGGTTTTTGATTAATTGTTGCACTCGTTTTCGTTACATCTTATATCAAATCTCAGAGGTTTCTCTTCGGACAGGTTTTGCCCAATCGATACATAAATGTCAAAATCGGATGCATATAAATGTTTAATAACTATTACATACCGTAGTGTCCACTGGAGTAACCTTTTGTTGAACGGGCACATGAAAGTCCACCGACGAGTCCATATAAAGCGCTCCGTTGTCTCCCATCGTAAGGATGACAGAACCGCATCCTCTCTCTAATAACACTCGACACGACTTTTTCCCGTCTTCTATAGTCTTAACGTCCACTCCAGTGGTTATCGTGGCTTCGGTTTCGTTCAGACAAAACACATCAAATAATGGGTACATCTCTTTGGGAGGCGGTGTCGAGAAGGGCGGCGCGCCGTTTACTAACGTCTTCACTAATTATATTTATAATTAAAATATTTAGTCAATCATTGCTTTTATATTAAAAATACTTATTATGTTTTAATGCGAGCGTTGAAATGACATTATTTTAATTATACTGAAGCTAAAATGCCTCATTGAATGTTACATAACATATAACTGTATCTCAACTTAAACTCGTGCCTTATTTAGCATTATTTGAGAATAAGATATTATTTTATGAATTATTCAATTAATTGAACGACGATTATATTGAGCGACAAAAAATATATTATTATAGTTTTCTCTACGATATGAGTCGGAAGAGAATTAATATGACATAAAAAATGAAGTAAAACTTAATTATAATTCATTGAAGTATTGAATTTATAAATATATTATTCAGATAATCAATAATAATCAGAAAATATGTGGCAAAAGATTATTATTGTTGTTTTCAAAAAACCATAAATCCGTTTCATATCAAACTTTTTTCATATTAATTATGGGCAAAAATCTTATGACTAATAATCCGCCACTAATTCTATTCGCAGAATATTTTAATAAACAAATTGTTGATTAAATGAAAACATAACGCGAGTATAATTTGCGCAAAAATTGCATTTGAGTTCAGGTTTGCATTTGCGTGGGAATAGACCGCGATTTAGTGAATCACCTGTTTCTGCATTTTATTGGATTATCCTTTCAATGAATGTCAAAATATTTATTTTATGGTCACATTAACACCAGTCGTGAATTCAATAAGTATACAAAACTGCATAACAAATTCAATTAACGGTTTGCAGTCAAATAAGTTCATAAATAGCTTTAATTTATTGAGTTATTTGTCAATTGAGATTATAATGTATTCGCAAATAATATAATGTTATCACTAATTTGTCGCTTATTTAGTGCTAATTATTTGACTATTAAATATGGTTAGATTCAATGCATTAACAAAACACATGTTATTTACAGTAATGTAATAAATTAATGTAAATTAAAGGCTTACCGCCTCTTTTGCGGGCTATAGTCAGCACTCGATGTAGTGTTTGGGGAAGACATTCAAATGTTGGCACAAATAGTTTGCAATTATCATTGAATAGATTGGCTTCAATTGATGAAATTTCATCGGGCATTAATG